CAATACTCAACTTTTTGTTGAGAAGTGAGAACAATAGATGAACAGAAGTATCTATGTCGGTGTCAAACATAAATTTGCGGACAATGAAAATTTTAAAAATGTTATTCTTGCCTTATTACACGTTCATTTATAAAGATGGTTAGATATCGATTAAAAACATCAGAAAAATAAAATAGTGAGAAAAAGGTGATATAATAAAAAAGAGTTTTATGTATTTTTCTGTTACGATGATGGAAGAGTAGGATTCAGAAGAATTGAATGTCGTTCGGCAAGTAATGAAGTTGAACGATTAGAATTGGTTTGCTTTGAGGTCTATTTCTATTGCTAAAATAGAGTTTTGAGGAATATTTTATTGAAGAATCGATGATGGTCTATATTTGTAGTTTTCACGTAATCGTTAATGACACATACTCTTAGAGTGAACACCGGACATCTAAAAAAGAAAGATAGCATATAAGTCGTTAAAAAATTTGATCTTCGTTTCATTCACTGTAATAATTTTTAGATGGATAGTATGGAGAAGTGAAATGTATTAGCATAAAGTGCTTGTGTTGTCGATTCCTATTGCAGGCCTTGCAACGATCCTTTGTTCCTCTTTTTTTCCTCCTTTTCTTGAAGCGTCCTTATTTTGTCCTTCTTTTGTCGTAAAATCCTTCTTTTTCAATTTTTGATAGAAGTGAAATTTTAAAACAAGATAAACACACGATGGCGGTACATCCCTGAACAAAAGTCTTTCTCATCCCTTCCCGCTCGGATCTCAGTCACCATAAAGACTAGAAGTCTGAGAATTTGTATACACATACTCCACCAGAAATGTATGCCAGAGGCATCATCTGCACCTCGATTACTTGAAAGAAAAAGCAGTTAGAATGTGTGATGTTGACTTTTGCTCTGACCTTGGCAACCTAAAAAATGGCTGCTTGTTAAGGTTTACTCTGTTTCTTATAAAATACGTGATTAATTCGGAATATTTGTATATGAAACGAAAGCCTAGTCTACTACCTTTCTTCACTTAAAAGATAAGTTCATCTACCAGAATAATAAAGTCTTCAGCACTTCGACACTAATGTAATGGCTACCAATGTGTCATTTCTCTCCAATATAATATATTGTTCTGAAACTTTCAGAAAGTAATAGTATGCTATAGAGCAGGGCTGCCAACTGTACCCCATTTGGGGGTACAGTACCCCATTTCGTTCTTTTGTACCCCTGAAAATGTTGTACCCCAGGGGTACGTATTTTGTACCCCATTTCGGTTTTTAAATCTGCATTGCTATTAACTAATCATCTGATGAAAAAAATCAATATCTTGTAAAGACCTCTATAGTAAAAAGTATTGGTAAACAACTGACTAATACAAAGTGGCGTCTATTTTGTTTAATCTAATCTTGAATCATTCTATTTTAAATACTATTTTCGAGTAGACAATGAAATAAATTTCAAGGAATTTATATTTTGTTGTTCATTATTCTTTTGTTACTTTTTTCTATCATACTAAAAAAGGCATTTTGAACTTTGTATCAAAAAGAAATTCAATTTTAGATTTTGTATTTGATAAATGGGATAATATCTTCAGTATGGAATTGAACAAAAATGATGACATTGAAATCTCGGATGATTCACCTTCAGAGACAGAAGCAGCAGCAACAGAAACTGTTGAAACACATTCGTCTTATTCAAACAAATTAATTACTAATACTAAAAACGAAAAAAGAAATTCAACGTCAAAAAGACGTTGCACTTTCAACCAAAACTGGTTGAAAGATTCTAAATATGCACCATTTCTCAAGGAATGTCGAACTAATAAACACCTTGCTCATTGTTCTGTTTGTAAATCAAATTTTTCTATTGCTAATGGTGGTACCTATTTGATTAATCGTCATATGGAACAAGATAATCATAAACGATTAGCTGAAACTCAAGAAAAAGAAAATTGTAAAACTAATCTGAAATACATTTTTTTAAATAACTTGTTTTTGTTTTATTATTAAGCACGATCAATACGTGATTTTATTGTTCCATCATCTGCATTAACTAAATTAACTGCAGCTGAACTTAGTCTTGTGTACCACGGCGTCCGTCATGGATACAGTTACATTAGTCAATCATGTACTTTTGATCTATTAAAAAAAATTTTCGGTGAATCTTATATAGGACAGAATATTTGCTGCGGTAAAACAAAAGCTCGTGAATTATCTGTAAATGTTCTTGGTGAGCTACTTCGATTTATACTATTTCTAGAAAAATACTATCTGATAAAAAATACGAAAAAAAATATTTGATTCAATATTTATGTTTAGAAAACATTGATGTTTGATATTAACTTTTTTAAATAAAATATAATATAATTTTAGCTCCATATTTTACTTCTAAAATTATACAACAAGTTCATAAATCGTGCTTTTATTCTTTGTCATTTGATGGTTCTAACAAAGGGAACATAAAGATGTTTCCGTTTATTATTAATTACTTTACGATCGAGTCTGGTATTGTAAGATCTGTTCTCGAAGTTGTAGAACAGCCATTTGAATCAGCTGAAGCTATTGTTAAAACAATTCATCATGTATTAAAAAAACATAATCTTGATATTGAAAAATTAACATCTATTGGAGCTGATAATATTAATACAAATTATGGTCGATATCATTCAGTTTTTAGTATTATGAAGCTTGAGATTTTAAATTTGTTTAAAGGTAATAGTAGCAGTATAAATTTAAAAAACAAATGCTAAAAATATTTTCTTTTTTTTTCTTAGGAAATTGTTTTTGTCATATTTTATCTAATTCAGTCAAAACGTCTCATCATTATTTACCTGTTGATGTTGAGTCATATTTATCTCAGTTATATAGTCACTTTAGTTCATCATCAAAACGTGTGGCTGAATTAAAAGAATATTTTGAGTTTGTCGAAGAAGATTATCTAGTAAGTATTTCCAACTCTTTACATTTTAATATAAATATAATACTATCATCTTTTTAGCGTTTGCTTCAACACATAAAAATTCGGTGGCTTAGTTTGTACAACTCAATTGATCGTTTGCTAAAAGTCTATGATCCTTTATCATCATATTTTTTTGAAAATGATAAAGAAAATGAAGATCAAACAACATATCCACAGATTATCATCAATTTTTTTTCATCGACTGTGTCCAAATGTACATTACATTTTTTACATCAAGTATTATTTGATATTCAACTAAAAAATTTAGAATTACAACAATATTCTACATCATTTGCTGATTTACATAGAATTATTACTAGTTTATTGAAAAAACTCAACGATCGTCTTGAACAGAAGTATTTTGGCCATCACACCAGATCAATATTGAATTCAATGTCAAAAGACGACCAAGAAAAAACAATTTCATCATTTACACAATATTTATCAAACGTTATTAAATACATAAATAAATATTATGAAGAACATTCATTATTAGCTGAAACTTTATCTATTTTTGGTATGTTTTTTTACCATTAACAACGAATAAATAAAAAATTTCTTTGATTTTAGGAATAATTGAAATTGATCAAATAAAATTTGATCAAATTGAACGTTGTGTGAACATTCTTAAACTTGAACTTGATCATGATCAGTTGTTTGAAGAAATGATCAATTTACAAACAACGTTCAAAAAGGTTACTTCGTATCGTGAACCACTCTATGTTCAAATACAAAAACATGTTGGTAATAACAATTTTATTTTTGATGATACTGAAGAAACACATGAAGAAGAAACATTAATTCATAAAACAACAACATCGAATAATGAATATAATCATCCGAAAATTCGTCCTGATCAACTTTGGGCTTACCGTATTTCAAAAACAACACCAAATTGTCAAGAAATAATAAAATTACTTTCTTTTGTATATTCAATTCCATGTTCTAATGCTTTTACTGAAGGTGTATTTAATCATATGAAGCTCGCATGGACACCTAGTCGAAATTCAATGAATGTTGAAACTGTTGCTGCTGAATTACAGATAAGATTAAATTGTAAATTGAAATGTTATGATTTTTTTTCATTTGTACAAACTGAATCCGACTTGATCAAATGTGCTCGAGGCACACAAAAATATAGCTTTAAAAAAAAAGCTTGTTCTACTTGATTGTATATTAAATATGTATTAATGTACATTACATTGTGCAATTATGTTTTTGTTCTTATTATTTGTCTTGTTTTCAATTTTGAACTTATGCATTAACTATTATAATATTTTATAAGAGAAAATAACTAATAAAGCTATTTCAAGTGTCAAATTGTGAAATATTGTGTTGTTTTCTATAAAAAAGCTTGATTTCATTGATTTTCCCAATTCAATTTACTATTCTAGAAGATAGATAATGTACCCCATTCATGTACCCCGATCGAAATATGGATGTACCCCAAATATACCCCATTTAGATTTTTATAAACCCCATTTCAAAAAAAAAAGTTGGCAGCCCTGCTATAGAGAAAGCTTCTCTAAATGTTTTAGATCAATTTATTGACCTACCACTGAGTTATGAATCTTGAAAGGAAAATATATAAGTTTTTGATAAACCGATGGTTATAGTAAAATGAATATGGATGATGAACGAGTTGGCAAACTTCTACTAAATTTGTGTGACAGATAGCTAGAGCATAGTGTCACATAATGGTAGGTCTGCTGACGTGAAATGCCCTTCCCTTCCAAAGCTATGAAGTTCAAAGCAAAAGTTGCGATCATCCATCATAACTGTGTTTTCTTTTGAGAAATCGGGGTGCGGGTGATGCTACTGACATACATTCTTGATGAAGTATATGCACACAAATTTTGAGACATCTAGCCCTTATGGTAACTGAGATTCGAGGGGGGAAACCCTTTTGTCTAGGAGTGTACTCAGATTGTCCCCCATCATTGACATGATATTGAAAGAACTGCAGAGATTGTGTACTTTAGCTAAATTCAGGAAAAATTCGGTCTACATAGCATAAAAATATCTTGCAGAGCCTCAACACGTGTACTACTCACATTCCGATTTCGACTCATGTTAAATAATGGTTTCTGCGATTTCCATGCAGAAAGAAGTGGTGTCGGATTTTCCGCTTCCATTCGCATGTGCCATTAGAAATTAATAAGCACATCATTTCTTAGTCCTATAGTGGTGACAAAAAGTCTGAGGACAACCTATTTTTTAATTTTTTCTATAATATTAAGCACCTAGCTCAAATCAAAATAGTGGTTCTAATAGCCACTGACTTTTTTCTATCTAATGCGTTCTATACCAAGTTTCATCGGTGAACTATTGCGACAAGGTTTCTCAAAAGTTGGATATAGCAGTTTTCAGTTCATATAAGACTTTGTTGGAGCTATTTTTAACAGTACTATGTGAAAGAGCATAAATTTTTGAACAAAATGAGAGGTCGTCGCATTTTCTACGACTTTTCCATAAAAGGTCACAAGCATTACAAACGAAAAGAAATAAAAAGGCGTCTTTTAGTAGTTTTTTGATAGACTTCGCTTTTTTCCCGTTTTTTGTGATGCTTGTAACATTTTATGGAGAGATTGTAGAGAATGCGGCGACCTCTCATTTCACCCAGAATTTTCTGCTCTTTTATATGGCACTGTGAAAAATAGCTCCAATCGAGTCTTCTGTGACCTGAAAATTGTTGGGTTCGACGTTTTAGAAATCTGGCTATTGTGAGTTATCTATGAAATCTCGGTATAGAGTGTATTTGATATAGCACTTCATTAACTATTAAAGTCACTATTTGGATTTGGACTAGATGCTTAACATTAAAGCAAAAAATCCAAAATATGTTGTTGCTAAACTTTTTGGCAATAGTATAGTCTCTTAAATTCTCGGATTGTTTTTATCTTCGTCTGCAAACTCGTTTGAGAAAAATCACGCTCCTCATTGACAGTCTTTTACAACGAAGACGAGATTTATTGTAAAATGAAAATAAAATTCGAAAATTCAAAAACACGAAGGATATACTTTCGAAAATTTCAGGAAGTGTTTGTTTAAGTAAATAAAAGAAGAATCGGGTTTTCTAGAGCTATACATTCAGTTTTCGATGAAAGATTACCGCTATTATAAATCTATATTTCCACGATTGACCTTGATTCCGCTCATCTTTATGTCTCATATCCTGTTCACCTGCAGATTTTATCATTTACGAATATGTGTGATACCAGCAAAGTGAAGCATCACATTTGATCTGACAAAAACTATCAAGAGTAATTAAAGTAATTGATATAGCAAAATATATTTGTTCTTAATTACTGGAATGCAACAGGTCACCTTTTATTATTCTCTTCTCTTCTCATATGTTATTGATCGATTTGAGCTCTTGAAGAGTGGCCAAATCATGAATTCGAAATGAGTTTCTTTTTCGGGCTCTAATACCATCTTTTATTAGTAGGCGTCTTTTTTTTACAGTTTTCTCTTTTCATAAGCAGTGCTTCAATGGAAATTTCTTCTTTTCTTGTACCACGGCGCTTCGATCCCTGCTATTGCTTTTGTTTAATTTAAAAACTGTTTCATGGTCTGGGCTATTTTATTATATAAGTATTTTCTCTGATAGTATTAATCGTACAGATTAGAATGGAATTATTGTAATAATAAGTCGTAATAAAATTTTGGTTATTCTTTACGTGAAGGGAAAGAGAGAAATAATTGATGGGCATCATATTATTTTTAGAAGACTTATTTCAATGGTCACTTATATTTGACTATGTACGACATTCGAATGAGATTGTTTGAAGATTTTGTTTTTGGGAGACTAGATTGATTGCAAACATTGAATATTCAATATTGACTATTATTTCAATACTATCATATCCGTCATATATTGTTTCTCTTATTCTTTTCGAATGTAATTCTAATCAATGAACATGCCATTATCTGAATTATCGTTGTTTCTATTCACTTATTTTCACATACTTTTCGAAGAGATTCACAGACAAAAAATCTATAATAAGAATTATTCTCATGTAATATAGGCTTTTTAAAACTCTTTTGCAAAATATGATGCATTTATTTACTGAAATTGCAAATCATTTCTAAGTAATTCTCTCTCGTTTTTTTTTTGATTACTTGAAATTAATTAGTAATTATTTCTCTAGAAGTCGGTGTCTCTCTCTCTCTACAGATGGATCCATATAGAATTCATATTTGTATTAGTAACATATTCATTCATTAATATAAATAATAATGAATGTACTGCCATGATAATATTTGTATCATAACTAATAAAATGTAAAGACATTCAATCGGATTCCAATGTTTAATTTATACTTTATGTCATAATAGTTTAGTACTCGTAAACTTGATTTGAGTTGTAAAATCTTCTTTAATTTTGAAACTATTTCATATTTAATAATACATTCACAAACTATTTGTGTTAATCCTTTGACGCCCGGCTTTTTTTTAACGGAAATCCAAATTTTGATAAGAGATGTTTAAACATGATTTTTATTTATTTTTTGAAAGAAATTATAGTTCTGTGTCGCAAACATTAGTAATTCATTTTTGTCAGATAGTTTTTATAAAAGAATCATCAATACATAAAGATTCATTGCAGTCAGAATACATATATCTTGTGTCACGTCAAATATAATGAGATGTGCAAACCACGCATTTTCTTTGAAGCTGTTTCGATTGCGATGTTTGTGGAATAAGTGAAGGAAAATGTTGAGCAGATACAATATGTGAAAAATATACCAATAGTAAGGTCACATATTGTAAAGGTTAGTATTTATTTAAGCAATAAAAATAATGGAATGAGCAATAATTAACATACGATTTAGCAATAATTTGTAAGCAGTAAAAAAAAACTTTATTGAGCAATTTTATATTATTAAATGGACAATAATTAATTCATTAAATAGCAATAATAATTTCATATTTTAGTAATAAATAAAAGAAAAATTGCATTATTTTTAGTTACAATCGAAAATTTAAAAAAAAACGAAAAATATAGTATATTATTGGGTCAATAAAGCTTTTTTTGCCGAGGTGGTCTCCCTCTGTTTCTTACGTATTTCTATAAATAAATGTGTTAAATCTGTAATATGATCTCGTATATATGATGTTCATTTTCGAAAAATAAAGTCCTCCCTGTTATCACATACATGTAGACCTGTATCTGAGATAACAGAATATACCAGGAATAGATATGATACGAATAGAATATATCTGAATGATCACTTGAAAGAACGAAATGAACAATCGAAGAGAAAGCAATATGGGAATGGATCTGACAGTAGGGATCTGCACTAGGTTTTCTGACTTCGATCAGAGAATTTTGAGCCATTCTATTTTTTGGAATACTGAACTGTTTTTCGAATACACATCTGTGGAGCAATGTTTCCACTTTCATACAATGTGATTATAACTGTACAAAAGACATTCAGAGTTGAAGGATTTTAAATAAAAATGTTGGATTTCATACTTGAACTCTATCAGATCTGAATGTATGGACTCAGACGTTTTTTGTTTACAAAACCTTCAGCTTTGAATGGTTGTTGTACAATTCCAATTGCATAGTCTGAAAGAGTAAATATTAATCTACAAAATTTGTATTTGAATAATCATTCACTATTCGAGATGATAGAATGATTCCTTTGGTTGGATTCAGAAAAACCAGTACGACTAACCTGACAAAAGAGAAAGAGAATGAAAGGTGTAGATTCATATGTAGGGAAAGAAAGAGACCGAAAATATAATGTATAGTATAACACAACTCTGTCTTAAAGCGCATCTTTGGAATGTAGCATAACAAAATGAATCCACAGTGCCCCTCTTTATATAAAATTTACCTTTAATTTAAGTAAATTATTGCTGATTCAGCATATTTATTGCTCATTCAATATAGTTATCGCTTATTGAATATAATTATTGCTCATTTCAATTATTTTATTGCTCAATTAAATATAAGTCTATTGTAAATATATATGAACGTACAGAACGGAAAGAAAACTGTGATGTATACTATCGATATATAGAACAACTAAAGAGAATGTATGACGAGCATAGGGACTATAGATTCCTAGCATGATGTCACGGTCCTAGTTCATGACCTAACAGATAGAAAGCTTTTCCAAATAATCAAAGAATATGCCAGTAGCATCTTTGTTCAATA